GGAGGAGAAGCTCGGCCAAACACAAACATATGTGTAAGCGCCAATCTATATATGTAAGCCTTATTTAATATGATCTTAAGCCTAAATACGCAAACTGTTCTATTTAGAATTGTTAATGAGAAAGTACTCAGGCTACAAAGAAATGAAGCGTATGTAAGTGAATGCATAGATTCCGACCGCAGCTATGTAATCTGCAAAAAGGTATGTGATGATGTATAATATATACAAGTACATCACACTTACACTTTTGTTAAGTGTTTGGCCGAGCTTATCCTCCAACTTGATGTTGGTACAGAAATGAAAGAACCATCGTTTTTGCGTCTCTTCCAAATGGCAAAGGGATTTTATGTGAAAATTTGCAAAGACAAGAATACAATTGGCGGTTTGCCATGCAGTGGAAATTACTAGCTACGACTAGACATTTTCAATTGTTATTCTTTTCCCTGATTGTGAGATATGTACATGTCGCGGTCTCTAGGGCATACTACCGTCTTACCATCCGTGCCGTCCTCCATGACATTGGGCAGGAATCCTTATTAACCGTAACATGTTAATAAAAAAAACAAATTCCTCATTTCTGGTTACAAATTTTATATAGTCAATCCACCTTTTATTGTTACAAGTTCATACTATTTATACATTTACAAAATTTATATTTTATTGGTGCATAATTCTAGGCTTTTTTCTTCAATTAAGCTCTACTTAAGAGCATTCTCCAGATACCCTTAACCAGCCAATTGCTCCTTATTCTCGCATTTAGTATTATTCACCTTGTTAGCAAGTATTTCTAAGTCTTGTGGTGGAGAATTTTTCTTCTCTGTCACAGCGTATGTAGGCGTTATCAGCTTGGCTGGCAATGCGGGTAAGGGATCATTAGAAGCGCGCTTGCTACGTGGCGATACTTCGGCATAACTGACCAGGCTAGTGTCACGATATTCATATTTGGGTGCCAGTGGTGGCATGTAGCTATCAATGGACTCGAAATTTAGCGATCTTTTTTCATTGCCATTGTCAATTTCTTGCAAGCGCAAATAAGCTGGTATAACTTCATACAAATTAATATTCATATAACTTTGATTACTTTCCACACTAGTGACGGAGCTGCGGCGGATGGTTTGGCCGTTGGTGTTGGTATCTTCCAAGCTAAAAAGAACAAAATAAAAATAAACAGATTTAGGATAATAAAATTACAATATTTTAAACAGATTCGAAGTACTTAGATTAGGGTTATCCTTAAATGTGTTAAACACGTTTCGACATCAGATTTCCTAAACCTCAATCCCTACGTCGATGCTACTATCGCCAAAGTTATTAAATGTAAATTTTGATCCCGATCGGAGACGGCTAAGGCGCACAGTGTTCTGCTATTTCGATTCGTACAAAATAAATTCCCAACCGCGAATTCCGAGGTC